ATGTATAAGAACTTTTGTTTGAATTTGATCGAATAGTTTCACAGTATTTAAGCGCCAAGTCGATACGAGACATTAAATAGGAAGAATGTATTTATAAAATCTCAATGAATAAATTTGAAGTAAATCTAATGTTTCAGCTGACAATCTTTGAAAAAGCTTGAAACAGATTGCAAAATAAAAGGTTGAATTTACTTCAAATTCATTCGCTAATATTTTACAAAGATATTTTTCTTCTTTTAGTTTTTAAGTTATTTCTGATTATTTTATACTAGTGAAATAAAATTTTTGTAGAATAATTTAACATTACTAATAAGTTCATAATTCACCTTTGTTATTGTAACAACAAACTCAATTAGAAAGAAAGTTGAATATTTTTGTAAGCAATGATGGATACTGGCTAACAGTGGAATTTAGGACTCGCGTTTCGTCCTATTTGGGACTCTCCAACTGGATGCACCTGAATCTCTGAGTTGATGTTCACTCTGGGACTCGAACCCAGTACCATTTGCTTCAAACGCCATCGCGTTATCCACTCAGCTACTGAGTCCTGATAGTCACTTGCTTGTGCAATGGGGTGAATTTAAATTCACTTGGTATTGTTTGGCTGATCAATTGCAGTCTTGAACCTCAATGGGAAGATACAAGCCAAACAATACCAAGTGAATTTATAAAGTTGAGTAGTTTAGTTGTATAACTTATTATAATTACAATAGGACGAAACGATCGTCCAGTACTTCCAGGATCTCCATGATAGTCTGGATTCAATTGACTCATTATCACAACTATTGAAATTATTATAATATTCACAAAAACCCCTCTTATTATAATTTGCTTGTTTAAAATCAAATCTCTCATAATTTCTTTATTCTAAAATATAATTTTTTAAAATTAGAAAAAAATTCTTTCTTTTTATAGAAAAAATATACTCTGAATATTATACTCGATTGAATTTTCATATTCCACTAGTACAAACAAGCATAAAGATAAATGTTAGTTATTTTCTAATCCATATTCTTATGTGTAACACACTTCTAATGGTTAGTAGGATTTCAAGAGACATTTTATTGATTTATTAAATTTTATACATATTTCTGTTAATATTCAATTGATAAATGAATAACAAATGGATATTCTAACTGAGCGTACATACTCAGAACTATATATATATATATATATATATATATATATATATATATATATATATATATATATATATATATACGACAGTATTGCCTTGAGAATGAATTCAATGAAAATAAGCCATTTTCTGGATATGTGTGCTACTGATGTCGACAGATATCAGTAGTATGTATCAGCAGTCGAAAGTGGAATGCCTAGTAGCAGAATATTGAGAAGATTGAAGAGAAGGGAACAAAAATAGAAAGTGATTGATATGAAAATGAAGAAACAATAAAGTCTGAGATCATTGATGGATATTTTGTAAATGAAATATTTACTGTATGGTTCTTAGATTTGATCAAGATATTCTGTAATTTATACGAATATTCGTCAATATTAAAACGAATAGTTTGATAAAAATTAGTCACCGAGTATAGAAAAGTCATTATATGTGAAAATTATATTTGAAATTATCTAAGCGATTGAAATTGAAATAATTTCATCGTTTCATCTAGCAAACTTGTCTACTCTGAAGAAGTTCAGGCACGTTATCTAGACAAAACGTTGGAAATCAGTTCAAATGTAATTCTCATATATAATATTATGTAATGTTGTATCAGTGAACAATTAATTGTTCTCTGCCTGTGTTCTTGTTCACTACAATATTACATGAATTAAAGAGTGTATTCTGACGAATTATTTTTTTGTTTTTAAAATCAATTTTAATGTTTAGGTGTATCGTTACGGATAAAGTAATTTATAGTTTTTGTTTTATTCTTGTATTGTTTAATTACTTAAAAGATGTTTTATTATTAGTGAATCATTTACATTTAATTTTGATAACGATGTTGTAGAAATTACATGAAATAAATGCAATTTTATGATGAAATTTAAGTACTGATATACATTGAACTCTTAGATAAATATGATCGTTTTGTAATTGGTAGACATTTTAATAGCAGTACAGTTAAGATGATTAAAGAATTTTCGAGAAAAATTTTTTGGCTTTAGATCTTGATCAGAAAACAGTTTCTTTGTAATGAGAGGTTACCAGCACTTTTGGTTATTTGTGGCTTCCTACTCGATAAGGGAAATATCATATAATTCCAATTCGCCCTTAATGAATACTCAGAAACTGTATAAATCCTGATATAGTTATAATCAAGTGGCAGTAAAATAAGCTTACTCCTATCGGAAATTCAAGGGATTCTTAGTTCTAATCTACTAAAGTTAGAAAATTTGTGGATTATGCTTATATTTCAGACTGTTTTCATGTAAGCTAAAGTACTGATAATTTTTTGCAATTTTATGATTCTTTTTAGTGATGCATATTAGCTGAAAAACAAGTCGTCTCATTGTAAAATCTAGAAAGTTGTCTTGTAGAAGTCTTGTTTCATGTGTATTTTTACCTTTGATAAGACCCTAAAAATGGTTTATTTGTTTCCCAGGCAACTTTTAATTGATTAATTTTCTCCTTGTTTGGAATTACTTATTGGTTTGTTGGTTTAACTGTAGTTTTCAAAATGATATGAACTGCTGTGTACATTACTCTAATCTCATATTTTCCCTCCTTATTTATCACTATTTGATAAACGGTAGATCATTGATGTCGGAGCACATAAGTATTATGAAAATATTGCAGACTAATATGCCACTGGAGTCAGATCGTTTTATTCAATCTGTAAAAAAAAATAGAAATGTAAATATTTACTTGAGAATTTCAACTTAACAAAATATTATATCCTGTTGATGATAATATTCGTTTTTATATATTAGTTTATTGAAAAGAACTGTGGAATACTTCCAATTCATGATGATGATGATGTTGATGATGATGATGATGATGAGAGAAATAGTTCAAATATGAAATTGTCAAGTTTGAAAAAAATGATCAGTATAAATTGGAATTCACTAATGATTAATTGGTCGCTTTGAATGATTAAACTTTATTGTTACTGTAACATCAGTGATCAACTAAAATGTTATTCGTTTTCGACAAGTTCCTAAATGTTATTTTTATGTATTTTGAAGGTAGCAACATTGTCTAGGTCTTGACAACTTCAAAATAGAATAAATTATTTGATGTTGCTTAGATTTTAGTGTAAGAAATAGTATTCAGTCTAATAAAGTAATGAAAATATCAACCAATCCAAGTTATTTATTTATTTATAAATGTTTTGCATAGATTCTCAGACGAACTTCTTGAAACAGTGTTTTCATTTAGAAATAACAATGGTTATAGACTGAATAAGAAATAAAATAAGATCTAACGTTTTCATATATGATGATAAGATTTCATTCGTTCTATTTCCCTAATGAAATCCACAGTGCTAATCTAGGAATTCATTCACAAATTAAAAGACACTTTACATAAAATGAATATATATGTCACATTGACTATTTGTATAAATTTTGCCAATTCGATACATCATGATATCGTACTTTTGTTGAATAACCTTACGTCTATTCAACTGCTTCAATTTATCCATAAAAATAATGTATATCTCAACCTTTTGAGTGTCATTTGTGTATTTGCCGGTGATATGTTTGTATTGAAAATGATTTTTAGTGATTTTACATCTAGCCGAACAGTCACATATTTATATTAGTTCATAAACTAATGGGAACTAGTAATAATTGAAAAGATAATACCTTCACTCATATAACTACTCACAAATGTCCATATTTTCTATTTATGTTTTATGACGTGTATCAGATAAGTGATTTCTTCTATTGAATTTACAGAACTTTTCGACAGTTGCAATTCCTGAGGCCAATTAAATTTGGAGTGTAAGTGGTTGACCATTGATGATACTAAGCGATAATTATAATTTAGAGACAACTGATTAAAATCAGAATACGTTACGTACTGGATTTTCATTCAAAAACCAAATAGCATTGATATCTTCATAAGACCAATTGATTCTAGGTTTGGTTTCTTGTGGGTCACAAGATTCCCCAAGGCTCATGGCTAATATCAGTTATTCCTAAAGGAATATGTTGTTAAGATAATCCATTTTAATGAAAACAACTTCTAAATGTTTGTATTTTAACAAGTAAGATTTTATTAACATTCTTTTATTTAAACTAAAAACTTACTATTCAGTTGTGTAACTAACAGGATTTTGCTCATTTTTAATTACTGAGAAATTGAATTAATTAGTTCAGTGCATTCGTGGTAACATTTAATTCTGTTTTAATTAAAATAACATGAATACTAAATCCTAAATTATAAAACAGATGACCAAGGAATAACTTTCCCACAGTTGTTGAATTAAAATATTAATTCCAATCATTTTCATTAAACCTCAGGGATGATATGATAGATAATCTGGTTGAACATCACTTCTTAATTTATAAAGATGAAAAAGAAAATCAGTTATCAACCAGAGAATTCTCCCAAATTAAGGATGTGATTTGAAATGAATTATCAGGTAATAATCTTCAAGAAACTTGTATATGAGATTCAAGTCCTACATCTTAGTTTTTTTAATTTCTTTAATCTTCGTTGAAAATGTTAGCACAAAATGAAAATATTAGTTTAGGGTTGTGGAGATCGTTGAGTTTAGATTGAAATCATGAATGGATCAATGCTAGTCTACCAGTGAGAACCTGGAGGCACTGGACGACTATTTCTTCCCAGTATAGGATTCCTCGGCAGTGAGCATCCACGAGGTTAAACGTTTGCACCCGAAACCGAAGGTCCAAATCCCTCATACGGGATCATGGAGGCGCAATACTGAGGAGTTCTATACTAGGACTAAATGGTCTTTCAATGCTTTCAGGTCTTCAGTGGTGATATAACATCAATCCATTCATGATTTCAATCAAAATGAAAATAAAAAATTACAAAATCCTTTACTGTGTTCTTCTTTTCATAGTTTAAGATGATACATAACATCGCATCAAGTTGAAATTAACTCGGTCAGTAATGGATTTTGAAACCAAACCAAATATGAATGAGAATCAGCAGCCTCAATCGGTACAATCATCATCGTCACCGAATGTAGATAATTCATCCTCAGGCCATCCAAACTCTCACCCAACTGTAAATCATGTTATTCATGAAGAAAATGGGAATGATGATGAAGGGAGATATACTCATGATGAAATTCATCTAAATAATCATCACAATCATAGTAATCCGTTGACCGCTGGTAGTAAAGTTTGTGGAGCTGCATTTAATACCATGCCAATTTATGATCCACAAGGCAGCTTAGTTGGTCTACAAGCATCAACAGATAGAAATTTGTTGGAAGATTTCGATAACGAAGGAAGAAATGAACCTCTTGGGTATAGTACATATTTAGAATCTGGTTTTCACCATCATCATCTTCATAATCAGTATAATTTGGCCCTTCAACAAAATGCAAATATGGTTCCAGGTGAATATAATTTACCATATGGAGCATATGCTTTTAAATCTCAAAATCGTCATTTGTTTACACCGCTACCATGTCAAAAGCAACAACAACAACAATATCACCAACCAAATTATTCTTTTCTCCATAACTATCAACAAGCACAATACCAGCAACCACAGAATCATCAACAAACCCATTACGTTCACCAGTATCAACCTCAAGCAGCTAAGACACTTCTAGTTAGGTCTGCTTCAGGCATCATTGGCATAGATCAAAATAACCATAATAATCCTGATGCGTTTAGACCATTATCTAATGAAACATTTGACAAATGTCCTATAGTTTGTAGTCTATTCGCCATATTGTGTTGTCCAATTACCATATGGTGTTCATTACCAGCGTTAGTTTATTCGCTATGTGCCTATAGTGATTATCGTGCCTCAGATATTATTCAGTATCGACGTAAGAGTGACGTCTCAAGGCATTTAGTGATTACAGCATGTATAGTTGGTTTATTATTATGTATAACATGGGCAATTTTAACATTCTTTTACTATGAATTAATGTTATCAGTATTTAATGATATTATACGTGTAATTTCTCAGAGAATACGATCCGGTATATAAAAGTATGTCAATTTAAGTAATCATAAAATAATGCAAATATTTCTCATGCTCTTTTGTTTTTCGTTTAATTTAATTCATATTTACTAAACTTTTGCAGTTTCCAAGTCTCATGAAAGCAAGCTATTGTATTCCATGAAAATGTTAGTTTCCGAATATATGATTTTAAATAAAAAATTCAAGAAAATGAATGGTCATATTTACCAAAGGCATTTCATATGTTTTTATGTATTGATATAGTTAATTACGTATTTAGTCTGCAATTTAGCGCGTGACAGTTTTTCGGAAAGACGTTACAATCGAAATGAGCTGGAGCGTCGCCTAAAACAGAGCATTCTTCTAATCTGTCTTCCGACTGTTGAATAGCTCACTAACTTGTCTTCAAGCCGAAGTTCACAGTCACTGAACAAGTTTACTCGACTTTCCATCGCCTATGAAATAAAACTATAGTTTGTGAAGCATCCATGATGCTCTGAAACGGTATTTATGTCTAATACAATAGAAGTGAAGTTACTGTCCCAAGCTGCCAACTTTGGGGAAATTTTGGGGAAGCCGCTATAGTAAATTTTGGGGAAATTTAGGGGAAATGAGACTAAAAACCCAAAATTTCCCCGGACCTGGGGAAATCCCCTAAGTGAACTGATGTTATTGGGAATACAACTGACTACTGAATTTTAGTAAGTAGTATAAAACAATATACAAAAGAACAAATAATTTATGGTTACGTCTGATAAAGCATGCGAAGCCAGGTGAAAGGGAAACGGACAAGATAAAAGTGATATCACTTTGGGGAAGCATTCCCAAACCTTTGGATTTTCCTGGAAAACTGTTTTAACGCAAAAGCTTTACGAAAACCTATCGACATCACGGAAGACCTAGGGAGAATGCTTACGTACATTTATTACTGGGATGTTTTACTACTTTTCGTTAATCGCGCAATGCCAAATAAACTTAATGTTAACCGATTTGTCGCTATTTTTAAAAGACTGATTTATGACGTATATAAATGTTTATTACAGTTAATAAATTTACAAATAGTCCATGTATACAAAGTTTTTCATTCCGTTGTAGAACTGTCATTGACAATATTCTGAAAAATAAAAAAATCATTTTTAGTGTATAATAACGTGTTAAGATATGTGAAAGGTTGATGATGTACCAACAGTATGACAATTTTCTTAATAATGCGAACAAAGAACTTACAGTTACGTCTGATAAAGCCTGCGAAGCCAGCTGAAAGTGAAACGGACAAGACAAAAGTTGTATCACTTTAAGTACTGATCACAAGGTAATAAACCCTTACAGTAATTAAAGTACAGTGATTATAGTGATAAATACAACGATAATTATCATCCTCCGAAGTTTGTGGAAATTCTCAAAGTGCACTTCAGTTATTGCGAATACAACTGACTACTGAATTTTAATAAATAGTCTAAAATACAGGAAAGTGTAAAAAGGGAACGAGTAGGAACAATGTAGGGCAAACTGAACATATGTATTATAACAAACATTTTAAGTGGTTTTAGCTCCCCAAAGCTGGCAGCTTGGGGTATGTCATGAGTGATCAAGATTGAAATAAACTGAATTACTGTTGAGTATCACTGTTCTTAGTTTTAGACTAGTGAGGAGTAGTGAGCATTTAGTGGCCCTATATGTGACTCCTGGTAGATTGTTTCTGCTTGTTATCGAAGTATACATATTGCCAATCCTCGTATATAATCATCCACTTCAATCGAGTTGGTGAATAACGGAATTAAATTGGTCAAATCGAAAATGTATTACGAATACGTATATTTCATACAATCGTTGGTCCAAACAAACGATCGAACAAACTAAACGGATCGAAGAAGCCATGTAAGTCAACTAGATTTAGCCAAGCCTGAATCGATATTTGTATTCAGACAAAAACAAGGTACAGACATGTAATCAGTAGGATAAGAAATGCACACACATACTCTTACATAAAACATTTACGGTTGACAAGTGAATAAGTGATAGGATATAAATTTAGCTTGAGTAGAGTGAATAGATTGATCTGTCCAGATGTTAGAATGACTTATGTAGGTTTGAAATGGCACCAGCCACTACAAGCAATCTTTACAAAAGGTCTTGAAAATAGAATAAAACATCGTCAAATACTACTCAACTTACTATTATATTTTCACTAATATTCATTTGAGATAAAATCAACTTTGAATTCAAGTCTATCACGTTGAATAGAAAACAAATTTTCTCGAAAACTACTTAACAGTTTTGAATCGAAATAATGTGAGTGTCCAGGAAAGATGTCACAGTTATTCAGAACGCAGGCCATTGAAGTATGATGAATATCATTTTTGTCATCTAGTTTAACATTCAAAATCCAAATAGGTACACATCTACTTGATGACTATAAGCAGTTATAAATTTCTATAAATCAAGGCAGGATAAACTTTCGAAGGAACATCTAACCTCATCTACCTCTGGATTGAAATTTATAAAATGTTAAAAGATCCGAATACACCAGAGAGTAAATAATGGATGGAAAGTTTTATCAAAGATTGTCATTAGGTCAGCAACCAGGGTGAAACATATGCAAATACATATACCACTTTATTTTGAGCCTGTTAATCGATGGCGAGAAAGCCACAGTGGCAGGGTTGCGGATCAGCTCAGATAACAACATATCGTATACACACTCTGATAGTCACACATTTTTATGCAGCTTGATCAACCAATGAGCGCATAGTGGTTTCTTTGTGGTTGATAATTAACACACTGAATGATCATAGCACAATTGACCTGTACGATTCCAGCGTGACAAAATTTCATCGCATGCATGCTTTATCAAAAACTGCACAACCGACCTTTTTTGTCATTATCAGTAATGACAATATTACGTATAATGCTCATAATTATAACCTCTCTGGTAAGGAACAACTGGTTCACAAAAACTCATCGTAATACACAGAGTAAGAACAGTAAATTAATGAAAACATTATCAATGAACGATTACTTTGAGAAAAAAGAGCTAACAAAAGGAATCATTTCTTCAGTGGTCGTAAGTTACGTGTAAGGTATATCAGTTAACTGGCTAAATCAATTGTTATTCCGGCAGTAAAAATGGAAGAAGGGTCTATTTTGAAATTGAAATGTTACGTTTACCAGAAATTAACTATTATCTTAACCGTTTCTGCAAGTGTATGACACTGACATTATGGAGTTAATGGCTGTTCATTGTGGTCAACTACTGGCACAATTTCGGGGTAAGTAAGCAGTAGATGAAGAAATCCTCATTACTATGCTATAGGGTCAGCCAAGTCATTCGACCGGTTGGTCACTGAATGTCGAACAGTTCACTGGTCCTCGTCAAAATCAAGAATAATCAACGTGTGGACTGGTCCATGCTGGAGAGGCCACACTCCGTTCATTGTGCTTACTTTTAATGATGTATTATGTAATAACGTCGTTTGTGTCGTACGGTCATCAAAGCAACCATAGTACCTAAATACTACGAAAGGGTGGTCCATTTTAGATTTAAACTGTGAGGTGTGATTTCGACGTTAGCTGGTTGGTCACACCACCCACTTCTAGCTCGATTAGGCATCCAATCGTTCGACATAGATAATCTACACTGAGGTTCTTCGATACAATGTCAATCCTTAAAGTGAAATGGATTTATGAGGCCATTTATTCAAGAGTCCTGACAAATAAGCGGAATATTATGATCATCAAGCGGCCTGCTTGAGTATCCTGGCTATCTGTTTCTACCATCTAAATGTTTTAACAAATTATGTCTTGTATTTTGTTTTAACCTATCATTATGTCTATGATCGCATAACTTATTCAAGTGCGTTTACGACCCATTGCTTTACAAGATACAAAAAAGTACAACCGGAGACATCGTATGACTGGCAGTACACATTGAAAAGAATGAACATTAATCAGATTTCGACTGCTGCCGATCACCAGTTTTTAAGGTGAACTATCTTCAACAGTTACCGAGTCTAAACAAATATAGCAACTGTAATGTAGCCACAATTCAAAAATCTTGGTTAACTTATTTACAGGAGGATTGCTTAGTATCACTACGCGATTTCAATATCTATAGTCAGGATTGATCAAGCAAGAGAAGAAGGTGTGACGGCAGTATAGCCACGTTTGTAAACGTGAACTGGTGTTGATCTACTTTTGAGTGTTTCAAGTTTTCAAATGACTTTATCGATTGTTTGACTTTAAGATGCCGTACAAAACAATTGAATAAATACGAATATGATTATCTTACCAACATCTACATGACTTCAAGCTGCATGTCATCTGCACTATATGTTTTCTCTGATAAATTCACTGGATTTTGTGTTACTGCCTTTAATGGTCACTTTCAGTTGGATGAGGTGACTTTAATTAAAATGACTGTAATTTTCTTTGATCACTGGGTCATCAAAATGTAATAGATTCTTCCACTAGTTTGAATGTCCATCTAGACTTTGTTTTTATAAATTATGCGGAAATATATGTGACTCGTGGATTATGAAGACGTCAAAATATGGGGTGAAACATGGGATATATATTGGACATCTAGGATGCGGCTGGACGATCTAGACTTCACAGACGATCCGGCTCTTATATCGCACACACAAAAACAAATGCAGGAAAAGAGTACTAGTGTGGCAGCAGCCTCAGCAGCAGTAGGTCTTAACATACACAAAGGGAAAAGCAAGATTTTCCGATACAACACAACATGTACCAACTAAGTCACACTTGGCGGAGAAGTCTGGGAGGATTTAATGACCTTTATATATCTGGATTTCATCACTGATGAACACGCTGGATATGATGCATATGTGGAGGCACGGATCGGCAAATCAAGAACAGCATATTTACAACTGAAGAACATCTACAACTCAAAACAAATGTCAACCAACACCAAGGTCAGAATTTTCAATACAAATGTCAAGGTAGTTCTACTGTATGGGGCGGAAACCCGGAGAACTACGAAAGCCACCATCCAGAAGATACAAGCGTTTATTAACAGTTTTTTATGCAAAATACTTCGGATCCGTTGGCCAGACACTATCAGCAACAACCTACTGTGAGAGAGAACAAACCAGATTCCAGTGGAGGAAGAACTCAGGAGGAAGCGCTAGAAGTGGATAGGCCACACATTGATGCAAGCACTCAACTGCGTTACAAGGAGAAGTTGAGCAGGGCGTTTCCTCTCGTGACATGGTGTGGATGCTTGACCGAGCGCCTTTAGCTAGGTGAGTCCATTAAAACTAATGTGGTCAGCATCATATGTCGAAGACTCACAAAGCTATTGATTTCATGGATTTATTTATCACTAAAGATTTCAAAACTTAACGTTCACTCAGAGGCTCCTATCTTAAACACACTATACTGGTATGTGAAAACTATATAATGAACTTACCGGTAGTAAATAATAATGATAATAATAATTTATTCTCAAATAACAGTTTGTTACATGAGGCATGCCAGGTTACAGGCAAGATCAAATTGATACAAATGATACAATATCCACTGTAGTAAATTACATAGCTGGGTTGATAATTTATAAGATGTGAATGTAGATGGTTTAAATCAGTACCACAGTTAGCGCGCTTCATGAAAGTTGCGTTGCAAATGTGCAACTGATGGTCAAGGATAGGTCCATTGAAGGTGGGAGCTTCTAAATGTCACAACCTTATGTCGCTTTGGAATGTCTAAGGCTTTGAGGATGGTGCAGAATGAAATCACCCGTTCCATATCACAAGGGGCTGAAAGAGGGAGCAAGTAAAAGAAAACACGAGGGGCAGAGTAGCCAATATTCATGAAGGAATGTTTAAGGTATGATTACTCAGTCTAATTTTCTTTTATTAAGGTATTTGTTAAGAAAGAGCATTTTAATAGGTTAAAGAAAATAAGTGTTAACAAGGTGTGAGTGGACATACAACTGACAAATGGAGGCGATTCAGAAAGGAGCTGAGAGTATGGGATTATGTGTGGTTATAAAATAGAATATGGTGCTAGAAACAGTATTGTGATATACAATTGGCTATCTTTTTTTATCGAAGCAATTAGAGCCCTTCTCATCTTTTTTGTATTATTATTTTTTTTCAGGTATCATAGGGTCTTGAGTAGGCTTCGTATATTAGCGAATTGTCTAGTTTGCTTGCAATAGGATTACTGGGTAGGAAGTGAAACCATTTCAAAGTTCGTAACACGATTTAAAGAGGTATTTCCCGTGATAAATCAGCTTCAATACCATAAGTTCGCGACATCCCACTAAACCATAAGGAGCCGTAATTAAACAAAATGTTATGCCCTACAGACATGGGTGGATTGAATTTATCTCCCCACCATCATGTTTGCTGGTCAGTAACGCCACCCTCCCTCCTTTTGTGATGTCAGAAACAATGGCGTGACGCAAATAATTCTTCTGCACATCAGTCATGTAATGTCATACCTCCCATATCCATAGTTTTGTATAATAAATGTGTCCCAATTTTCACAGAAACTAATGTCCGAACATGTCTTTAGTCATCTAACTCATTCCAATGGTTAGGACCTGATGAGATCTCAAACGTCATTTTTAAGATGTGTGCTAAAACATTAATCAGTACCAGTTTGCTTGTAAATGCAAAAGAAGCACCTTAAATGCTGCTGTTGTCCTTGATCATAATATAGTGTTTAGCTTGGAAAAGGGTAGGAAGTATATTTGGGGCGCATCTCTGACTATACTTTTGCCTTTGACTTTATTCCAGGAAAAGTACTTGAAACGTTAATCAGCATCAACACTGACGGCTGGGTAACCACTTGGCTGTATACTTACCCCTATGGAAGGGAATGCAAATGCATCTCCACAATTTATGCGTAGACAACTTTGTGCAATCACCTCACAGTTGTTCCAAAATCCGTTTAAAACGTACGAATGGCTACATATTGAGGTCAACAATGATGCCACACCACTTCTCCTCGAAAGGGACATAAGTCTCGCGAACCAAGTACCGAGAGGGTAACCAAGTGGGTGATAAGGCTAGAACATTAACCTCACAAGGACAGAATCTAACCTTTGGGGTTATTCTCGTTGAATCACAGGAGAATAAGATATTAGTTGGTAATGGTATACAACATATTTTAGCGGCCCGTGGATCTGATTCCTATTTAGATGGTATGGATGTTTGCTGTCGCCTATTCTCGCATATCATCGTCGACTTTAATCACGTTAGTCAGTAACGGAATAAAATAAGTCAAATAACGAGAATGGGATTTTGAATATGTATACTTTGTATATAAGGTGAATGGAATAGCAGGAAAAGAAGCGATGCAGGGTGGAGATGGCTGGTAAGCCAACTCATTTTTAGTCAGGCGTTAACCAATATTTATAGGCGGACAAAAAATAAGCTACAGACATGTGATGAATGGGATGGGAAATGTATACACATATGCGCTCACATAAAAACAATGAAGACTGGTAAGCGAATAACTAACAAGGTCAACATATGACTCAAGTAGAATGAATAGATTGGCCTGTCCGAAAGCCAGAATAAGATATATGGGCTTAAAATAATAACGGACACTACAATATTAAGTGCACCTAAACACCTCAAAGCGGGCATATGACTAAAAAATCAACACCAAACTCCTCGAGATAACCCAAATCAGAGAGAGAACAGCCAGGTACGCTCTTACTTTTCTTATTACGACGCTCTCCAAGACCAAATTATCATAGCCCCAAACACGTACTCACCCATGGATTACTATCTCCCTCTTGGACCATTTGTATTTGATGAATGTCTTATATATCACCACATTTATAAGTACTCCACAACCAGTATCTACTTTTCATCTCTCATATTATCATCTAAGTTACACCCAAACTCCTTCTACTCCATCTCCTTATATATTGTCAATCAATTAAGTATTTGACCCTGAAACAGTCATCTAGTACTTGGATTATCACTTTATCATATTCTTATTGCAACCAACCGACATCCTGCCTAGTAATGTGATAACTGTTGGTATTCTGGAACCCTTCTGCCCCAATACAAACACACTCAATCAAACTAGGTTAACAAATTCATAGATAATTACAGCATTCACTAGAATCAGTGCAGTCGAGCGACTGGACTTTTATCCATTGAACATAACCAGATACATGTAACTCCACTGAAACAACAAGATATAAACACATGCTCATGATAAAGATATGTAACGTGGCGTCGAGTCGCGGTTGACCATGATAACCACTACGGTAAAACTACGTGCCAGTTAACCGATAAGATCTACCGTAGACCAAATATCAGAAGGCAGTTGATGGGTGTAGTCGAGATGTATTTGTTGGCGATCTCGTGGTATCGAAAGAATACCGATATCGTTCCAGGTTACAAGTGTGGTTATTGAGCACAACCGAATTCGTGCAAAGTCACAACCAACAGAAAAAAGCATGTCTTTAGTACAGTTAAACGATCAAGTACAGTAAAACAATCTCTGGTACAATTGGTTATAATAGTACCTGTTTCCATTACACCAATCGCGTTCTGTTGATAAAAGTAAGTCACTAAAGATATTTTATGTGTTGTAGAAGATATTGTATATTGGTGCCCTATGACTTAAAGTCTTACGCTAACTGTGACAAAAATGCCTTCCGAGCAAACCTTGCACTGGTAACGTTGAGGCGCATTTTTGGCCAGTTTGACGGAAGAACTTTCCACACAATCTTCAATAGTTTCATCCGTCCCCATTTAGAGTACGGAAACATAGTACTCCCCCCTCACTCCAAAAGGACAAGGTCACTTTGGAGCGCATCCAACGGCGAGCCACGAAATCAGTTCGAGGACTCAAATCTAAGCCTTACGAAGAACGCCTCCGTTCACTAGACCTTTACCCATTAGAATATAGGCGTCTTAGAGGTGATTTATTAATGGCTTATAGTATTCTTAACACTTCTGGACATTCTCTTAAACACCTACTTAAGCTTAGTTCGAATAATAACCTAAGGGGTAACACCCAGAAACTGGAAACACAACATAGTAAGACGGAATGTAGACACAACTTCTACTCCTTAAGAGTTGTCAAAAGCTGGAATTCGCTGCCGGCCGAGCTAGTCCAAGCGACTTCTCAGGAGTCCTTCAAGAGGCAACTTGACCTATTCTTAAGGACCAAGGACAGCATCACACTAGGATTTACCAATTTCTTTTCCTCTTTTATTGTTAACATACCTAGGTTCCTGCCTGGAGGATTTGGTGATCCCCTGAAACTAGACACGGAAGCCTGTTAAGCGAAAGCTTCTATTCCGTCCACAACCATTTGAACCGTTTGAACCATTTTGGTGACGAACTTTCGGATGGTGCGCTACTAACTAGGCACTGACTTATGTAACCATAATTCTTAGTAGATTATGAGTCATTGTTTTGCTAAATCGAGAATATAAATTTATTTATTTGTAGTAACAAGTAGTGTGTTGTTCCTGGAGGGAGAAAAGTGATCAAGAAAACTTTAAAATTTTATGGTTTAGTTATGTTCATGTAATAACCAGCTCTGTTATGCAGTTTGAATATGTAACATATAAACTATCTGCTTCTGGTTCCGATTCCAAGATTGTTTTAACCTTAGGTTTGTGTTATTGATGATTGTTGTCTCTTGCTTAAGTGGTTAAAGTGCATTGTATGGGCTTGTATTGTTCGGTATTTTCTAATGTTCTATTTTCCAGCCCTTCTCACTCATACTAATCTGCATGTTCGTGTAGAACCGGAGTTACCTTCTGGACAGACGCAAGCTGCTACGGAATGTAAGTTGATTAGTATGGCTTTACTATGCTCTCCGTTATAGAGCTTAGGGATTCTACAGTTTTATACGTGAATTCTCACTACAGCTGGAACAATATCCAATATAGTCTTGTCGAACTGATATAACACCACTGGTCTCTTCCGGTTCTTGCGGTACTAAAGAACAGTCCCAACTGGGATACCTAGGTGTTCGATAGCATTCAGTAAGAGGAATCTAGCCACTCAAATGTATTAGTCATGGTAGACTGAATAGTCCTTCGGCGGCTTGCATATTTTAAGCATAAGTCACTGAATTTGTCCTAGAGCGATGAAGCTGCTGGGAATAGTACCTATTACATCACCAGGTAATCGTCTAGTTGTTTGGATTTAAAAATAAAGTCGTAGTGAAGTTAAAAATAAATGCCAAGTAATTAAGTACACAAATATCTGAATATAACCAACTAGACGAATATAATAAGCAAAATGATGGGATAAGGCATGTCAAATATAAGAGACCAGAATATATTGTGAGGTATGGTAAAGTTAGAATTAGCGAACACAATGATATCGTGCCTAGTGTACATATGTATTCAACTGCCATTCCAGACGAAAGATAACCTACGACTGCGTACGTGGTTCGGAAAGTATTAACTTGTAGCTTGATAATAAGCTTCAGTAAGAAGTACTTTATCCAGGTGATCTGGACTGTGATCAGATCACCTCTCAGATTTCGGCGAGACTATAATTTATGGACGAACCAATCAGATATAAGTTAACGATTCACGAATTTGGCGCGGAATTCGTTCATACATTTGGCTAAACAGAGTTTGGGCATTATAGCTGGTGTCAGTTCGTGATGAAAACCCTAAATCTAATTTTAAACCCTAACCATCAACTATAAATGAGAATTCTAACTGCTTTATAACCCTCATTTAGTCCTAATTAGAAGTTGTTCACTCAAGGTCACTTCAGTGTCGCTAAAAGGTCGTCCATAAATTATAGTCTCACCCCCATTTTGTTGCACGTCTCTGCACCTGTTCTAAGGGGATGTTCGTATCATCTTTCAGACGACTGGAAGGTCTATGGTTACGGACTACTACACAAAATCACACTCATGTATCACTCTTATTAAAGTTGTGATTTATCTTCAGTGTTTAATTTGTCGTTATAAGTTTATGTTTATCTTAGCTTCATTGTTTTCGACTTGGAGGCTCATTCAGGACGTTTCGGAAACTAATACAAAAGCAAATGATCTGTCAGTCAAATTTGACGTAGAGCTTTAAAGATGTGAACATTTATATCAAATTCCTAGGGAGGATCCAAGGATGCTTTCTTGACTTCTTAGATTATTCGTATCCAAGTCTTCGAAGTTTGTCTTTCATTTTTACTATTGATCTAGTACAGTTTTCATTTGAGTAGTGGACATACGTCTTTTGTATTGTGTTTTGTCTTTACTCCAATTACCACTCACGTGTCCATTTGAGTTCAATTCAAGAAACCAAATGGAATAAATAAAGACTAGTCAACGGACCATAAGTTTGTTAATATAGCAGCGCTAATTTAGTGGTCGAAAGTAATTCCTGTGGTTCGCAAACTCGACTTAGTTTTAGCATGTACATGCTTTAGAAATCCGTGGCTCAGCCGCTATTCAGGCGGAAGAACAATGGTTAGGAGTCCTTACTTTGCTCAATATTACTCTTCGTTTGTAGTTTCTTACTTATTGTGGGAGTTATGTTATCGTTCTCCCTTTTTCAACTTCTCATGATATGTTTAGACATTCGCAGCCTATTATTAATTCGAGAATGAGTAGCGATGGGTTCCTAATCTAGTTTTAGCAGTAGTCAGTTGCAAACTAAGTAGCTTTAAAATAGATTTTCAGGTTTTAACAGTGAGTAAAACAATCCCAATATTCCGTAGGGTTTGTTTGTTTGTCCAAGATGATAACTAACCAATATATCTCATCCCAGCGTTAGATTTTCTCACTAGTTGACTTCTAATTTCTCACCCTATAGGCTGTCCAGCGAAAGGCTACGCCGGGCTAGAATGTCAATATACCATTTTTTGGTTGAGTATTTACTTATTGTTTTCTCATGGTCTTCCAAATTTTCAAATACATAGTTCTCATATCCGGGAACATAAAAATACGCCTTAAGTTTATAAACAACATTCTTGATAAATTATATAACCTAAAATACGCATTTCATTGATATAGAGAAAGCATAAAAATATTTTTCTTATAAACTTCCCCCCTGTCCGACTTGTATTGTTGAAATATTGACTTTTATTAGCACATTAATAAACAAAAAACGATTCACCAGGTTGTTTCTTTTATCAGCCTCATTTGGAGAGTTTCATCATGTGTAGTGGGTGTGCTACCCATAAAACGTTTGGAAAGGTATAAAGAGCCCTGTCGATATTTCTCGATTATCACTACTTAAGACTAATATCACCCGTATGCCGAGGGTCGATTGTACTGTTCAGCAGTTCGCCTTTCATACTATTTGACTGAAGTCTAGCAATTCAGTATGGGAATCTAAAAAAAAATACAGGTATTTAATTGTAATTGTTTTCAAAACACAACTCATGTGCAGTGAAAGCACGGAGCTTGCAATGTCGATGTTAGAATTATCAATGTGATCTTCACGGAGGTCACTGTAAAGTTCGTTGTACATATCGATTATCAACTACCTCCAACCACCACCTTACATATAGGCTTGACGTCTGTTCTTATCATTACATAAATAGACGGGAATAGTTCTATTAAAAGCTGCACTTCACTTAAAGTGAAACAAGTGTTACCAATCTTTGTTCAATGACCACAGGTACAGGAGTAAAACTCAACCACTGGTGAAGCTGCATAGACACAATTACCCCACAAACCATCAACGCTATGCTCGACTGTAGTTTTTCACCTGTCCATCCGTACCTTTTTTGATGTGTTCGAAAGGTTTTGCAATCTTCCTGATTTCTTTATACTGTTGAAACGCAAACTCATCTAAGCTAACTCACTGTTGGAAATAGTTGTGCTTCTGTCTACCTGTAGGATTGAAGGCATTTTGTAATCTTTTTTTCAAAGATGACTAAACAGCAACTCAAAAACGTATATCTGAGTTATCAACCCGCATTGACTAAGTTGGTTGGTATGATTTTGCTCATCTACATTTGTGGTTTGATTCGGTCCGCCATGATATTTAGTATGAAATCTACAATTATTTAAGAATCTACTTCTAAATTAAGCACGATGTATATCTTCAAATAATTACTGATGATTTTGGTAATGGCCGACACAAAAAAACATGGATTCAACATCTGATCTTCCATTTGGCTTATATTTCAATGCAAGTACAACCTGGTAGCAAATTTCCATGGCACCGATATCACCACTTCAATAAAAATCTCGTCAATAACTTATCAGCTATCAAAATTGTTGTTAAACATAATCAACCATATTTTTAATTTCAAGGGAAAATCCCCGCATATAAGTGTAGTGCTACAATACTTTAAATGTGTTATTTATGAATCCTGTATTTTTCTGCTCATTAACGACATCTTAACGAGTGTTTGATGTATTTTCCATAGGATAATTATTGTTGTTGGATTTTATATAAATGGATCTTATAATGTATTGTTTCTATAGCTTTGAAATGGCGTACAGAGAAGTTCTCCATTCTTCTTCTGAAGATGAATCTAGCAGCAATGATGACATTTGTTGGAAACGAAGAAAATCAGATATTCGAGCCTCACCAATGAAAGAGGATTTCAGTGTAAATATCCCAAAGAAACCATATAGAAAAAATCGAAACTGTGTTTGGGTAAATGTTATTAACGAATACAAATTGGATGATGCTTTGTCAGTAGCTCATGTTCATGAAGTAAATCAAAACAACATAATCTAGCTTTTACTGTAGAAATGTGACTCTAGCAGGGGTGTTGAAAGCTATTTGGTTAATACAGATACTGATGATGAACGGAAGACTATTGAAGTATGCACGCAACCAGAGTTGTCTACTAGGTTTGAAAGTTCACACGTAAATTTATATTTTTCAGAATATTAAAAAAATCAGATCTCTCTATCAAGCAACGGCTTGGACCACTTCTATGGGACCAGGAAGTATCTAGATCACATATTGATGTTACTTTCGACAGTCCACCCGATCTTGTCGCTGAAACTATCACTAATCTACTAAAAGAACCGAACGAGGATTTAATAAGTATGTTTTCATTTACACTATAATTGATATTGTACAGAGCGAACTGTTGATATTTTGGGTGTTCAGCGAGCTCTCGAATTTTACTACCTTACGGAAGATATCGAGAACAATGGTGGTCTCTACTTAATGGTAGGTTTCCACATAATAGCGCGTTTCTTCACCTCACTACATTTTAATTGTTACACCGTATGTAAACCTATATTACGTTTATATAATGTAAATTATCCTGTTTTTATTAGTATATTCAATTATGGTATTTGGTAGGATATTATTCTCCCCCGTACTATTTAAATTTTAGTGAACGTAGATTATCAATGGACCGTGATGAAACAATCTGTCCAGGTTTACTTGAGATATGAGGATTGTTTAGCTGAATAGTTCTTCCAAAACTTACACATTTGTCTCGTCCTTAAAAAAGAAACTTATATATTATGGTTTTGTTATAAATTCGTAACATATTTTTTGGTTCTTTGCTGAGACTCAGTTGGCAGATGAACTCCAGCTGACCATTGTGTGCATAGGACCTCTGACCGTTTTGCATAAGATATGTCTTTAAAATTAAGCAATTATCAAGCATTTGTTGTATGTCACGTTTTCTTTCAGTCCAATGACAAAAAACAATAATCAGTAATTCTTACTTTTTCTGACATTACACAATTTGTGATAAACTTGTTGAACGAAATAAACACTACCTAATGCTTTCAATCAATAATTATTACATTCAGTATTTGTTTGTAATTCAATACAAAGGTTAAAGAAATCTCTTTGGAACAGAACTAGGAAGGCAACTTATCATCATCGCATTTTATTTCGGGTCTTCAACTAAATGTTAGTTTGCAGTAAAATTTTCCAGAATACCTATATACGTAGTTAACCTTTCTTCAGCAAAGCGTTCTTTTAGCTGATATTTCTAACATCTATCATTTTTCTGACCATATAATTCATGAATAACCGACACCTAACTACTTTAAAGTTAATGAAATTCTACCCACTTATTTCGCATTGAATCCTGAAAGTCTTATATTTGTTCCGTTATTTCATATCATCAGAAGCATCTAGTCAAGTTGAATTAATCATTGTTTTGCAAACCCCACTCTTAGTTACGTATTAGTTGCAGTCTAATCACCTTAGATACTTGTAACTAGTACCAACCATCAATATATATAGATCCATGAAAGTAAGACCATTTATTTATTTAAACATAAACATTGGTACAAGGAGGCACCAAACAGATATGCGCCACACAAATTCAAATTTTGTGAGGGTTGGAATACTGCCTGGGCGCCCAAACCGAAATAGGTGGTTTTCTTAGGAGGCCGCACCCGAAGCCTTTGACTTAGAGGTCTAATCCACAAGGCGTTGGAGAAACGTAGGGAGATATAGTCCCATGGTAGTTGGCGACCAACAACAGGTTCATATGCCATTTGTTTCCTTAGGATCCTGTGGCCCAGTTACACTGGTTTGGAATCAGAGTTTTCCAACTCCCCTAGATGGATCTCCTGTATCCATCAACTCGCTTAAAGCGCCGAACATTCGCTTTTCGTCCACTCAATTTCGTAAACAACATCCCCGCCACGAGAAGGTAGTGAGTAGGACTCTCCTGGCAGTGGTTGTACTCACGTATCTATGTGAAAGCATTTCGAGAGGCAGAGCTGACTGTCCTCACTCTCAGCCGTACCTGCTTCGGTTCAGGCACCCGGGAAGTATCCTAGCCCTCACACAGATCGAATAATTTCTGTGACGCATATCTATTTGGTGCATTCCTGTACCTATGTTTATGTGTTTAAATAAAATGAAATAAATAATCAGATCATGTATTCATATGAGTCGAATTGATAGCTAGTAGTTAATAACAAATAAATTCATCTGTGGTCATGCACGATCCACACTAACCATCATAGTAGTTTATAAAATTTCCTGATTTTTGAAACTTTTTTTTTCAAATTTGTATATCTACTGAAAGCTGTGTCATTATACAAAACGTTACGTAGTTGAGAATACAATCATTCAAATCGCTGGAAACGATCGTCTTCAGTTTATTTTGAATTTAGACATATTTTCTCTTGTTTTTTTATTGACTGGTGCGAATGTCAGAGTGATTGAGACAAAAACTAACACTTAGAATCTTTTCAAGTTCTTGACGCTCGTCGATTTATTCTGACAATAGGAATATAGGAATGTATGCAAATTCTCTTCTCTAGAGCTCCATAAAGCCCCCTAATGCCCTGGTACGGCCGAGAGTGGGTAGAGTCCGCTCTTCCTCTCGAAATACTCTCACACGGCCGCGCGTATACAGCCTCTGCCAGGGAAGTCCTACTCACTGCCTTCTCGTGTCGGGGGTGTTGTTTACGAAAATGAGAGGACGAAAAGCGAATGTCCGGCGCTTTAACCGGATCACAAACCAATGGTGCACATGGGCTCCAGTACCCTGAGGGGACAAATGGCGTATGAACCAATCGTTGGTCACCGGCTACCATGGGATTGCATCTCCGTACGATGCTCCACTGCCTTGTGGATCAGACCCTTAGGTCAAGGGCTTGGGGAGTGGCCCCCTAAGATAACCACCTGCTTCGGTTTGGGCACCCGGGCAGTATCACAGTCCACACACAAATGATGAACTCTCTATGTCTATGAAAATTACTTTTCTCGCTTCGAAGAACAATCAATTGGTTCAAATTATTATCATTACAATTATTGTCATTAATAATACTATTATTATTATTACTATTATTGTCATTATTGCTATTATTATTATTATTATTATTATTATTATTATTATTATTATTATTATTATTATTATTATTATTATCCACATTATTCACCCTCTTTTATACTTATACAGCGGCTCGTCTTTGGTGGAAATTCGACTGTATCTAAACGTTCTCGTGTCACTGTTCGGTTGAAAATTGTATGTTACCACCGAATATGAGTACTGAAGCAGTTTTTCTGAAACCACGTGCGCCATTCAAACTGGCCGCCTTCAACGTTCGCACACTTATGCAGGTTGGACAACAGATAGGACTGGCTATGTCTTTGGAAATTCTTAATATCGATGTCTGCTGTCTATCCGAGACCCGTATTCAAGACTCTAGTGAAGTACTACAAATTCGCTCTACATCTGTCACTTCAGAAAGCTTGTTTTACGTGCGCTTATCCGGGGACCCTGTAGCATCTTCGTCTGGTCTCGCTGGCGTTGGTGTCGCACTAAGCGCTAGAGCTGAGGCAGCACTAGTCGATTGGATCCCCACTAACAGTCGGTTATGTGCTGTTAGATTAGAAAGTTCCATCAAAGTGAGAAGAAATCGTCGTGAGAAACGATGTCTTTTCGTCATCTCCGCCTATGCCCCGACAGATTGCAGCCCGGATGCAATCAAGGATGAGTTTTACCGCCAGTTATCTGTTCTTCTCCAGAAAGTGCGTTCGACAGATATTGTAGTACTAGCCGGAGACTTGAATGCTCAGGTCGGGCGTCTAGGCACAGAAGAGAGTCGTTTAGGTGGCCGATGGGGACTCGTTGGTCGCAGGTCAGATAACGGGGACCGTCCACTGCAACTTTGCACAGACCACAACCTGTTTCTAGCTAGCACTAACTTTCGGCACAGTCATCGCCGATGTGCCACCTGGCGTCCTCCCTCTGCATCTCAAGCCTGGACTCAGATTGATCACATCGCGATCAGCTACCGCTGGCGTGGTTGTATACAAGACTGCCGCTCCTTTTGGAGTACCTATCTGGACTCTGACCATGCCTTGGTCTGCGCCAATCTTGCCTTACTTTTCAGTGGACAACGAAGTGACCGCCATCAACGGATTGATATCAGCAAGCTGGTTGCAACTTCTGTTGCAAGTAAGTATCGAACCGAGCTAGCCTCTAGGCTAGCTACCACTCAACCGAAAAGTATGGATGAGCATTGGTTGCAATTGCATGACGCCATGAAAATGGCGGGAACAGTCAGTTGTGGGTTGGCGAAACGTCCCGCTTATAAGCACTGGGTTTCTGCAGGTTCCTTACAACTCACTGAATCCCGTCGGTCTACTCCGGGTGACCGTGAGTTTGACCACAAACGAAGGATGTTATGTAAGGAAATTGGGCAAAGCTTGCGTAAGGACCGAGAAGCCTGGTGGTCGGAGTGTGCTAATGAGCTGGAAGCAGCAGCTGCATCTGGTAATTACCGGAAGCTCTTCCAACTCATCCAAGCCACTGGCAGCAAGAAGTCTGATGTGAGCGAAACAATCTGCAAGGATGACGGGATGGCTATCACTAACATTCATCGACGTCTTGTACGATGGGCAGAAATATTCGAAAAGCAATTCAACTGGCCTATGCTCCGGCAACATCGATCGGACTGTCCTGCCCGACATGGCCGGTGACGACTGATCCACCAAACGAGGAGGAAGTCCGCAAGGAACTCCAACTCTTGAAGCGTTACAAATCACCTGGCCCAGATGACTTACCTCCGGCTCTTTTTAAAGATGGTGGTGACTTTTTGACTAAGGAGTTGACGACGTTGTTTACAAAGGTTTGGGAACTAGAGAGTGTACCAACGTCATGGAATGAGTGGATAGTTGTCCCTATCTTTAAAAAGGGTTCACGTCGTTCCTGTAACAACTATCGGGGGATAAGTCTACTTCCGATTGCGTCCAAATTATTGGCTTCCGTCATACTTCGTAGGTTGTTCAAAACCCGAGAAAGATTGACTCGCGAGGAGCAGGCTGGGTTTCGTTCTTGTCGAGGATGTATTGATCGTATCTTTACCCTCCGCCAAATGTTAGAACACCGCCATACTTATCAAAGGCCAACAATCGTAGTGTATCTTGACATCAGGGCTGCCTTCGATTCGTTGGATAGGACTGTTCTCTGGGATTGTCTATTGAAGAAGGGTGTGTCTGAGAAGTCTACTGACATCTTAAAAGCCCTATATACAAACACCTCCGGCAGAGTGAGGGCATACAACCACCTCTCTCCATTGTTCCATTCGAGCAGTGGGGTTAGGCAGGGTTGCCCAATCTCACCATTCCTCTTCAATTTTGCCATCGATGACATTCTGGAAACAGCTCTGATGAATGTAAGTAATGGTGGTGTGGATCTGTTGCCTGGAGAAAGACTTCTCGACCTTGAGTATGCGGACGATATTGTCTTACTGTGCGATAATGCCCAAGCCATACAATCCGCACTTAATCAGTTGGTAATCAACGTCCGTAGGTACGGCATGTGCTTTGCACCTTCGAAGTGCAAAGTACTTCTACAAGACTGGCAGGACCCTGATCCTACACTCACCCTGGGTAGTGAGCAGATAGAAGTAGTCGAGAAGTTCGTGTATCTGGGTAGCTGCATAAGTGCTGGTGGGGGTGTGAGTGATGAGATCAATGCACGTATAGTGAAAGCCAGAGCGGCTTATGCCAATCTGGGCCACCTTTGGCGCCTTCGTGATGTTAGTCTGGCTGTAAAAGATCGGATCTACAACGCGTCGGTGAGAGAAGTTTTGCTCTATGCTTGTGAAACCTGGCCTCTCTGAGTCGAGGATGTTAGACGACTCTCTGTGTTTGATCATCGCTGTCTCCAAAGGATTGCTGAAATTCAGTGGCAACACCATGTTAGTAATGCAGAGGTTCGGCATCGTGTGTTCGGGCACAGAGATGATAATTCAATTGGTGTCACCATCTTGAAACACCGACTTCGGTGGCTTGGACATGTTCTACGAATGTCGTCCCAGAGAATTCCACGTCGTGCATTATTTGCCGACTATGGGACTGGTTGGAAGAAGCGGAGAGGTGGTCAGTATATGACATGGTGTCGTGGTATGAAAGAAAGCTGTACAGGACTGGCTTCTGTCTGTCCTTCACGACTCTCTGGTTGGGGTCTGAGAGATGGTGCTACACAGTGGCTAGAGACGTTATCAGATATGGCTCAGAATAGAAGCCAGTGGCGATCCTGCTGTAACCTTCTTTTACTTTCTTCATAAAAAGTGGTTGTGTCTCCTTTACCTGAAGGATTTCTTCTGATTGTACCTTTCCGTTCCCTCATTTCTACCATACTACCTTACACCAATCTCCTCGTTATTGTTCTCTTTTTTGCGCTCCTTAGTTGTTTTTTTCTATTTCTCTTCGAATTCTCATTGTTTTGTGTGGCGCATATATATTGGCGCTCTCTTGTACCAATATTCATGTGTTCAAATAATAATAATAAATAAAGTTCTCGCTAGGACCACGAAACGTGATGTTCGAAATGCTCTGCTAATATAAAAGCAGCTGGTGTATTTTGTAACCTTCAGGTATTGAAACTCATCCAAACCACTTGCCCAAAGTTTCGTGTAGGTCAGATTATTTATGAGGTCGACGGGATCTTATGTAGCAATCTTTAAAGCCACGCGGTTGATGATTGGAGCACTTCAAAAGATAGTTTAACTGTAATATACTACCTAAAAATCTTCATCCAGATTTTCCATTAACTATCAAGTCATATAACTTAGTAAGGATACAGAGGATGCTTTAGCTACTAAGATGTTACAATTTACCCAGTTTCATGTCTCTTAACTCTTGACCATATCAAAAGAATAAAATCCAAATTCTATACATTCCATAATCAGTTGCATAATGACCTAAAAACTAATGTTTCACTTTTAGACTCTATATTTATTCTTTCATAGCTTACTGTATCTTTGTTTTTCAATCGATTTCGTTAGGATGGGTCTCGAAGACGATCACCTGGTGGTGTTTATCTTAATCTAATCAAACATTCCTATTCAGTAAAGAAAGAAGAAAAGAAGTTGATCTTTCTAATTGATAGACAAATGAAGGATAAGTTGAAAAGGTATTTAAAATAAAAGTATTTAATCCGTGTGATTCAATGTTCACTTAAGTTTAAGATATTCTTCGAGTCTATAACAGGTATTTTATAAAGCTGGAGATTTGTTGATGTATATTCATCTCACAATTTTAAGTGAAAATCATCTGGTTTTCAATATGTCTTACAACAATTAAATCTATAATAGTTCCCTAACACTCAGGTAACCTGGCTTTAGATAGTAGAAAATTTATCAATTCATCAAACATTCTACAGTTATGAAATATGTATTTTTGACATTAATCGGGAGCTCAAAGTGAAGTTGTGCTGCTGGGTATGTTTGCATGAATTGGTTTTAACATGACTGCAGAAACAATATCTCTTTTAGAAGGAAAGATGAGGGAGACTATAATTCATGGACGACCTTCGAGCGATGCTGAAGTGACCCTGAGAATAGACACCTACTTATTAGGACTAAATGAGGGTTATAAACCAGTTAGAATCATGATTTACGGTTGATGGTTAGGCTTAAAATTTAGATTTATGGTTTTCATCACAAACTGACATCAGCTATAATGCTAAAACTCTATTTAGCTAAATTTGTGTGAATTTCACGCCACAATTCAAAACTCGTTATCTTATATCTGATTGGTTCGTCCATAAACTATAGTCTCGCCGAAAGATGTGGCCAGGGTCTACACTTAATACCACATTTTATTCGAGTCATAATGGAAAAGAGTACAGTAGAGGATCAGTTAGCTTTCTATTTGCGTCTTCTAGCCAGACATTGATGTAGTGGGACCCCGACAACCCATAAGTCTTAATGTCTTGGCTGTTTCTCATTTGGTAAGTAAAATATCACCGATCCTACAGGGAATATAGGCGGACTAATCAATAATCGTACTGGAGTAGAAAACTATCCCCATAAATGATGACTCGATCACCCGAACCCTAGTGTATTTTGAGAACCTTTTCTTCTTGTTTTTATAAAAGTAAGGTGACAAAATCTCTTGACATCAGTTGTCATTATCGAGTGTCTGCTCGTACCAACGGACAAGAAGTTCCCCTAACAATCGTGGGGCTCTCTAACCACAATTGGATTTATCTCTTCTGTTTTTCTCATCTCTGTCAGAACATTGTTCAATCCCTTCCGTTTCCTCAGCTCTTGATTTTCAGAATAGTCTTTATTCTCCTGAAATTTTCCTATTAATTTCATAATCATACAGTTGGAGAAATCTTATTGTAGTTAGGGTGTTAGTTCTTGAGGTACATGATTTGTTTTCTCTTTGTTTATTCTCTTTCATTGTGATTGTAATGGATGGCCCATTGTTCTATATTCGTTAATGGTTTAATTAACTAACCATACAGCAAGTTGGTTGTCATATCATGTAGACACACTTCATGTTTTAAACATTTCACTCAAAAACAACTACCATAGTAATATTTTTTGTCTTATGGGCTTTTTATGTTCAAAATTCTTATTAATCCTTTATTTAATTAACCTAGGGAAATATTACCGTTTCACGTACACTATATTTTAGTTTTCACTATAGGTTAATAGCCTGAGGATTTCGACTGACTTAACATTAAAAAATCCTTTAATTTCATCCTTTTAGATGATGATAATCAGTTGTCTTTTTGGGTTAATGTGTAATTCTGTATTTACTTATAAACTTAAAGAGTAAATACACGTGTTCGCTTCCTGTGAGTGACGAATTATTGTTTTATGTAGAGCTCGCAGGAATTCTCGTCGTGTAAGAAAATATGAAGAGTCAGACATTGTATGCGAACTTCCAAGCAATCCAGCGAAATTAGTCGAATCCGATTGTCCTTCTCCTTTAGATATTCACAGTTCTCAAGAACCAGTTATTTTGGAAGGTGAAATTTCACAACCTGCTTCTCCTGTAATTATAATGGATACAACGTGTGCAAGTCCGTGTGAAAAATCACCCGAAGATAATGAAAGTATGGAAGAAGGTGAATTGCCTCCTAGTGATGACGATATCTAAATCTTTGTATAAAATCCTTTCCCTCTGATGCTATTCCAGTTTTGAAATAAATAAATAATATACAGTATTAAAATAAGTTAAAAATTCATGAATTTTTAAGCAGATACGTTTTACTCTTTTTTTTTACCTCGATGAACATTAACTTCGAATCCTAAAATCTGTATACTAAGCATTTTATCATGTGACATTTTTTTCGTAAGGAGAATTAAAATTACAGGTAAATATTTGGCTAAGAACCTTTTGTACACTAAGGTTCCCTACAAGGAGAAATATATTTAATATCAATTGGAAATCTTAATTGCTTAAGGATCCGTATCGTATTAAAAGACTAATATTTGAACAAAGAATATTTTTTCCGATAAATTTTCTTCAGGTTCTACAATTATATATCCAAATTAATAATCCGAAGTGTGGTCAGGTTTAGGGCAAAGTGCATCGTTTAAACTTGGGATTGTCAAATAAAATAAAGTTGTTAATGTTGATATGACTTATATGGAATGTTAACTCGGATCAGCTTACATGTTAAGTGAAAATTTTAGGATCCATGACCAGAATAACTATAGGTTAGACAGGGTGAGAGAAATAATTACAACTCAATAAAATTCTTAGTTGGAGACTGTTGTGTAAAACAAAATTATTAAGACATAAGAGGTTGGATGGGTGCAGAGTAAATGAATCATTTATCGGAGAGATTAATAATGATGCTTAACCAATAGTAATAATAATACAAAGATTTATGATCAAAGACAACATAGACAGTTACATTTGGCTATAAATGGTCGTTCGAAGAACTTTCAGTATGACAAGCCTTGACAAAAATTACTAACCCGATAAATAAATGAAAAGGATTGGTTCATGCTGGCACTATGACCAGTTTGCACTAAATGGACCAGTATCGAGCTATTCACTTTCTTCACCAGACATTTGCGTAGTCACGCTAGGAAGTGTTTTGGAGCGCGGAAATGTAAATTCCTAGAACTTCGAACAATATAACTCGCTCCTCAGGAGCGAGGTAATTCATCTTTCGGCCTCAATGTCACCATAGGCGCGTAGAAAATGCTAATCGTAGTTCTCCGCTGTTGACAGATTTTATGGACTGTTATGCGTAATCTCTGAGTTAATATTTCGCTAGCCACATCCCCTCTGGATTGTCAGAGCATGAACAGAGGTTTTTTATTCACCGTTTTCATTTCGCCTATTCACACTGTGCTTCAACTTTAAACGATGCACGTTGCCCTAAAACTGGCCACTTTCCGGATTATTCATTCGAATGCATAATTGTAGAATCTAGAGAGAACTTAACAAAATGAATATTCTTCGTTTAAATATTAGTATTTTAATTGAGAATTTATTATTTTTGTGGATATAGTCCTGACTTCAGTATTTCATATTTGTACTTAAGTCTTAATGAATTCCACAACTTCACTTATCCTCTTCGGCTAGTAGAGTTCATAACGAATAATAACGGATTATTTTGTATCGACTAAATCATATTTGAGACTTTCAGATTAGCAACTAGTCAGTAGAAAACAATCAGGTTCATCGGCATCTATAGTGATATATAGTTTTAAGCACCATTGGAGTTCTCCTTCCTTCAGCTCAGAAAATAGGCGTAAGTTCCTAAAATGAAAGGACAATATTAAAGCACAGATCTAATACAACTCTGGTATGGTAGGATTCGGGACTTATCTTGATGGAAATTTCGTCCAACAATCCCCTCTATTTCGATACTTCAGTGGACATATGTTCAGAGAAGTTTGGGGCATGAATTTGATTCACCCCTAGGTCAGTTTTGTAATTAAGTCTAGAACATAAAGTATTGTCAAGGGTATATTTTAGTGTTAACCACATTTCTCATTGTTAAACCCCAAGCACCAATATTTACCTTATTCAGTTCATCCTGTAATGTTTGTAAATCACTTCCGAATTCCATGAGTTCAAATTTATGAATAAGTTTCATGTCGTCAGCGCATAAACACGGTGTACATGCGAAGAAGCATTTACACTTAGTGTTGACACATAAAATTGACCAAAGACGGTTCTTTGTACAGCACGATTAGAGATAGGTCTAGGTGTAGATGTAACAAAATTAACTTTAGTTATGCTATAATGACTCGAAAAATCGACTTAGACCAACCTAGTGGTTGACTTTTGAATGCATTTTTATCTCAAATTATAGTACTATCTCTATCTTCTCTTGATCACTAAGTCGAGTAATTTAATCAAAGTAATTTATTAAGCATAAAGTGGACGACATGCATTTTAGAAATTGATGAGGTTTGAAGTTTATGCAACTGAGCTTGTTCTACATAATGCAGTTAACATTGACACATGAGGCCTGATATACATTCACACTGTTCCGGGACCACCCATTCGATGGTTCACAAATGAAATGTTGGTTGTCGTACTTCCGTTCATTGCGAAGTTAAGAATGGAAACTGAAGTCTGCACTTTTTGAGGGTTCTCACAGGGGTTAATGGGTTTTGTATTATTATGCGCTACTGAGCGCTGTGTGACATCAAGATATGTCGGTAATCACGTAGATCTAGATATATACAAAACAACCTCGCTCATTCTTATAGGTGCTATCACAACGAAAAACTTAATAGTTGTACATTGCAAGATAGTTTTAAATTACAGGGACAAGTGTGAGGTTGCTTAAAAGTACTGGGTTTCTTAGATATGGCACCTTAATATGTACGGACTGGGCAATGATTTGCAGTTGTGTCAGGTGATATATTGATTTAGCTGGTTGCTATCAAGATAAGACATAACTTTTGTTGTTTGGACCATATTTGAGCGTCATTTAACATCTTATGGATTAGAAGGGTTGGATTGTTTCGTAGTTTAAATGAAGTTTGACAGACTGACTCAGATAATGCTCTCCGCTCTAGAGGGTCACGTCCAAACTGAGTAGGCACTGATTCCGGCAATTGCAGGAGCAAGTGTGCGATCAGATGTGACGAAGGGGTAAGGCTATGTATCGGTGTGAAATAATTATGCATTACTAAGCTAAAGATGTATTCAGTTAGTCGAGGAATATGACCCGGTGCAAGATGTTCTGTGGCTGCTTTGAAACGCACCGCAAGTTCATGTTTTGATTCTGACAGGTTGTTTATCACTAGATGTAGACGGAATAGGCTTATTGAGCATTTTTCTTCACAGGAAAACTCTAACTTCAATAATAAGTGTATTTTTTGACTGCTACTATTTATAATGTAAATATCGCCATCTCGAGGGTTGAACTGGGGCGAGAAAGAACTGTCCAGTTGGACTGTCAGTTTCTCCCACAATCTTTGACAGTCATGTAGGACACCCAAAATGCCACAGGCTTTAAAGAAGTTTATTTCTACCTGGTTGGGGGAAATATGTCCGGGGATCTTGTTGTTTATTTGCTTGTGAAGCGATATAAGTCCATCATAACTTCCGCTGCTTTGCAGTGTGAGAAAGTCTCAATCTGCTATACTTTTTCAGTTTGCATATCGTCAGACATAAAAAGGAAATGGGATCATCGCCAATAGATTGGATGAGTTGCTCTTAAGCTTTATATCATTAATCTAGTTTTTTGTTGCCGAAGTAAGGAATATTTACTTTCTTAACCTGTCGTGTAGAACCATCTGGCGATTGTGGTTTAAAAGTGCAGCGATCATTCATGGATGGAGAGTCACGCTTGCGAAAGCAGATTTAAAACCATATTTTAACTGGAAGTATAGAGTAGTAGGATTTCGGTGAACTTCAATGACCAATCAGTACAGATGTAGGTTCTGACTATAGTATACTCCGTTTTCCAGATATAATGTTAAATAATATAACTATATCAATTGCCCTACTAGCTCCAAAATATTCAAGAAAAATGATGATGAAGTGTAATGTTTAGACGTACCGGAAAGAAACTTCGTCCGTTTAGTGTGTAAAGGACCCATATTCGGGACTAGTTTTTAGTAAAATTCTAAATTTTTGCATTAAAATTCACAGTAATCGTATAATTTTTCCGTTTGTCGAGTAATGTTCACAAGACTAGGATTGGTATGATGTGAGTCAACAGCACTTTTCAATGTGTTTAGGAGTAATAAATAGATGTGGAAGTATAAGTACAAAATCCCTCTCGCAATTTTGACTCTGCATATGACAACCAAACGAAATGAAGCGGGAAATATTATTTATACTTACGCGCTCGTTTCAAAAAGGCAGTGATTTTTGTACTTGTTGTGATTATACTTGCTTTTGGTACTTATTGCACCAAAAGCATTCTTGGTCTGCTTTAATTAAAAGTACTTTGGTTAAAGTTTGAAATTTTTTGCTAAATTTTGTCCTAAGTACCTGTTTATACTCCTAGACTAACACTTATGTTCACACTGTGATCATTTTAAAGCTTTTAAATCTAACTACAATAGTTGTTAAGACTCACAAATGTGGGCAACCAAATTGTTTGTTCCTCGTTGAGGAGGGAATGCAGTGTGATGACTGTAAAAAGTGGTACAACAAAATGTGTACACGCCTAAGTCCGATGGCATACAAAAGATGCTCGAAGCCTAAATCGCATTGGCTTTGTATGTTCTGCTGTACGGATAAAAAGGTACTAATTCAGGAGGCTATGGGCTATTGGCTTTGGCCTGCAAGAAAAACGATGACACATGCGCTGACAACACCGGCACTGACAGTGACGATTGTGTCAGTGTAGTACCTGCTGTTACGCGACGCCTCAAACAACCGACTCTGACAGACGCAAAAGTGAGATCGCCGTTAACATTAACAAGGGGAGTAATACCATCTGGTACTGACATTGATAACAATGCACCTTCAGTGGAACCGACGAACTGGATAAAACCGTCACCGTTCCAAATAGTCCCAATGTCCTGAGGGATGAAAAATGGACTACGGTACGTAGGAAACGAAACGAAAGGAAAAAAGCTGTAGGCAGTACACAGGTAGTTAGTAACTCGCTGATGGACCCTCATTGTGAGTCACATACTGCACTACCAAAATCTGATGGTAAGAGT